TATATATATATATATAAATACATTACAACAATTCGATAAACTGCACTATATGCCGATGTCTATACCCAACCACTTCGCACCCTCCTCTACACTAACGCAGAAAGCGGTCTACGGATGCGTGACTCGTCCTTTCGGCACCACATTGACGGGGTGTTGCAGAAGATCGAGGATCTGTACACAGCCGACCCCAAATTCAAAGGAGCGTCAGACCAGTGCATAGAGATGTTTGACATGTACCGTAACGACCGCTCAGAGGAGTCTGTGCTGCTGTGGTTGGGGCACTACAAGAGTATGTTGGTCCTTGTTCGAGTGTATACCGAACCATTCTGTGTATCATAACATTGTGTTAGATTCGGTGTAGAGCATAGGCGATACACAAAGTGAATAATATGGGGTTGTGGTAGATGCGCAGGCGGACTTCACATCCAAGGGAACCGCCAACCCAGTGCACAGAGATAGGTGGCATGTACCGTAGCGATCGCTCAGAGGAGTCTGTGCTGCTGTGGTCGGGCACTCGCCGTGTATTTGTTTGCTAAACGACACATACAAGAACTGATAAACTATCAAGGAATTCATGTGGTGCTATAAGAGGTATATGTCACCAAGCAAGACCCGACCGCACGCACAGAATTGCGACCCGCATCTACAACAGCTCTGTTACAGCCGTCTCGAACTCCCATTCTTTTACGTCGATTATCGTTCATGGCCAAGTATTACCTTTACATTCGCACCCCTTTGTGTTCCGCGTGTACAACAAGTGCCCATTCTCTCTGTATGTCTCACTACATGTCACCCATATGAATCCTCACTATACGTCCCACTTTGTAACCCGCTTTTACGGGTCAGTTGGAACCGTCTCGGACAACACACAAGTGCCCATAATCTCTAAATGTCACCCATATGGATCCTCACCGTACGTCCCGCTTTGTATCCCGCTTTTACGGGTCTGTTGGAACCGTCTCGGACAACACACAAGTGCCCATAATATCTAAATGTCACCCATATGAATCCTCACCGTTCGTCCCGCTTTGTATCCCGCTTTTACGGGTCTGTTGGAACTGTCTCGGACAATACACAAGTGCCCACAATCTCTAAATGTCACCCATGTAAATCCTCACTATACGCCCCCTTTGTATCCCGCTTTTACGGGTCTGTTGGAACTGTCTCGGACAATACACAAGTGCCCATAATCTCTAAATGTCACCATATGAATCCTCACCGTACGTCCCGCTTTGTATCCCGCTTTACAGGTCTACTGGAACCGTCTCGGACAATACACAAGTGCCCATAATCTCTAAATGTCACCCATGTAAATCCTCACTATACGTCCCGCTTTGTATCTTGCTTTTACAGGTCTACTGGAACCGTCTCGCGACGGGTCTGTGGCGCGCACATGTCGGATGATGGACAACTACTTCGTCGACGAGAACAGACCAGCCGTCCGTATGAAGGCGTTGGTGAGTGCCTCTCGCTGTGTGTATGTGTGTGTGTGTATATGTATGTCACATCACGCATGTTTACACTTGAGTGTATGTCACGTTACACATGTGCACATATGAGTGTATATATGCGTATGTGTGTGTCTCTAGTGGGGCTGTGTATGCCGTGCGCTCGTGCGGTTATCCGCAGTGTTGTACACGCGTGCGTGTCTGGGGTGTCGCGAGTGTGCGTGTTTGTACGGGCTCGTGTTGTCATACAGCTGGTGTCTGCACTGTTGCAGCAAATGGGCGAGGTATCATTTAGCTGGTGCCCTGTTTATTGAATACCATCCATACAGGCACAGTCGAGTGTGCATGTACATACGTACGGTTAAGTACAAGTTGCTTGTGCTTGTGTTTGCCTTGTGAGTATGTGTGTCCAATTGATAAGTGCGTTTAATTGGGGTTTGTACATTGGATGTATAGTGGCGTATGTACTATTTGTGTGTTGCCCGTGGATGTCAAACTGAGAAAAACGGTTGCGATATGATATGCAGCCAATACTAGCAATAGGGCTCTAAACAGTATCCATGTACAGTAGAAGAGATAGGCACACTACAACGCATGCCACGGGGTTGCTTATGGTATACAAATAATCCACTATGTACATATGCACATGCATCTATACGTGTGTATATATATAATGGTGCGTATGTACATATCGGAAAGCACCTTCAGTCCTGTACAACACATCATTGTTTGAAATATTCCCCTGTGTACATGTATTAAATGAACCTACCTTCTCCTCCCCCCCTCCCCTCATTCCAGTCCATACTCCAGGAGCTTATTGTTGCTGTGCGGCCGATGTCGAGTGAGCTGTTTCTGCGCGATATCATTCTGGTGTACCTCAAGGTAAATAAGCCCTTACACACTTATATTATATATATATATATA